GCCAGCTAAAAATAGGACGAGCGAGTGTCACAAATCGAAATGAAAATGCGAAAAGCGACTGCAAGTCATGAAAATAAAATGCGACAAATTTCTAATGAAATGGGAGAAGTCACTTAAATTCAGTAAAAAGGGTTCAAACTATTATTACTGCAGTTAGTTAGCCAATTTAGTACATTTGGGCCACTTAGCTGGCGCCTTTGAAATTGCCAACATCTCGCTCAAGCTAGCCAGACAATTGCCATGTAATTAGGGATAATCGTGCGTCTAAAATATGCACGAATTATGCATACACTTACAGCAAACAGCAAATTGGCCAAAAAGGAGGAGAGCAGGGCTTCAATTACGAAACAGGACACTGTGCAGGACAAAAGCCAAATGGTTGAATTTTAAATGAGTCATCCGACAGCTGGAGAGCAAACCGAACCCACGCCCACATTGCGGCCAGCTCGTCGGCTTGGCGCCAATAAGTGTCCTGCTTGATCCTTTATTTTTTGTGTGTATGTGTCGACGCTTGTCCGACCAGCATTACATTAAGCTTTAATTATATTTGCCATTGGGATTTAATTAATTTGTGACTTTTATCATCCTCGCAGCCTGCTTGACGCGCTCTGCTGCGGCAGCGGCGCTCGCCTGGCGCTGGGCACCTCGGTAATTGCCTACCTGATAGCCTATAATGAGGCCGCCGCGCCGGGTCTGGTCTTTGGCACAGTGCTGGCCACTATCTATGGCGCAATGGCAGGTGAGTAGCAGCCAGACGTTGCTTTTCTATATATTTTATACATATATATATATATCTTATTCGAAACAGCGCGCTGCAAGTCGAGTCTGCGCAGCCTGCAAATGCCGTATGTGCGCGCCACAAATAAATTTGACTTTGGCTGCCTATTTCTGGCCACCTGGATGGATGCACTGACGGCCATGTGCGCCTGTGCGGCGCTCGCTCGCACATTGAGCGCCTGTTTGGATGCCATGACCGGCGGCCTGGCCAGAATACTTATACTGGGTATGTGTGCACAATATTTCGGCCTGCACTGTAGCGAGCTTAACCAATTTTGTTGCCTACTTTTAGGCCGCAATTCACCCGCCAATGAACCTTGGCCGGATGTGCTTGGTGTGGCCGTTGTTTTTCTGGTAACTGGCATGTTTATGCTGGGTCTTGAGGTGCGTTCCACTTGCAACTGCATCTTGCAACAAGCCTTTACTTTGCCTAACCAATTTTTCTGCCTCTCTTGCTGCAGCACTCGAAGGCCTTCAGCTTCATCATGACACTCGGCATGTTCGGTCTGAATGCAATTCTCAGCGCTGTCGGCTGGTGGCGTGGCGATTTCCTGGCCTGGTCGGAGAACTACTTTCAGCCAAACGGCATAAGCAGCGTAAGTGGATCAATCCCCATATTCAACCCGGCCCGCACCGCCCCCCGTTCATAGTCTGTCTCTGACAGTTGGCTAATGGGCGTGTTTTTAGGTCAGTGCACTTTGCGCCCTTTCTTTAGGTTTTTTGCTTTTTTTTTTATCGATTTTTGTCCGCATTGACGCCGGCGGCTTTCGTGACTGGCGGCAATTGAATCCGCAGGATGTGAGCTTTTGATTATGACACGGCATCCTAAGTTTTTTTTTTTTGCAGCGGATCCTCTGCTCCTCGGGGTTTTTTGGTGTGTAAAAGGATTAGAGTTTTGTTTTGTTTTTGTGAGTAGGTCTAATTATTGTTTGCTTAGAACTCGGTGGACTCAGTGGACTCTCTATTCCTCCCTCTTACTCCCTAACTTCTATGGGTACGGCATATAATTTTCTAGCTCCTGTAAAGTCCATTTATTTTAGTTTATTCAACTAAATATGTGGATCATGCGGATTATTTAAGAAATTAAGTGAAATAAACCCTTTAGAATTTTGTACCCGGTTTGGTTGTGTAGCATTAGGCCAGGCTATGTTGGTTATGTTAAGTAAGGTTATGATAGGTAATGTAAAGTAAGGATATGTTGGGTTGTGCTATGTTAAGTTGGGTTATGTTAGTTGAGGTACAGCTTAACATTACAGAGATCTTTAGCTCTATGTTGCCTCACGCTTATTTAAAGCCTGTAAAGATACATTTCTTCCACGAGAATATATTGTAGAATAAATTGTCTACTATTGTACACGATGAAGCAATAGTGTAAAGTATATATAAAACAGAAACTTGTATTAAGAAATGCGAAACCGCATAGGATTGAGAATAAGCCACAATTTTTATTTCTGTCCCCGCACACACATCACTCCCTCCCTCTCTACCACAACTTATTTCTCATTTACCTTTGAAATCTCTCTCTTTACAGTTCCTTTTGACCACCGCACTGTTAACCTATGCGTTTCCCAGCGTTTACCCTCAGCAGCATCGCGGTGGCCGCATCACAGCGTTCATGGTCGTGGCTCTGGTGTGCATTTCGCTGCTGCTGACCGCCATTTGCCTGTCCACAGTGCTGCATTTCAAGTGAGTAATTCGTCAATTAAATTAAAGAAAGATAACCCCTTGTTTACCTTACAAACAGAACCCGGGAAGATTATGTGGCCGTGCCGCTCTTTAACATACTGGATGACAGTGGCTTCCATAAGCTGGTGCCTGCCTCTGCCTGCATGTTGCTGTTGACCAGCTCGGCGGCGTTTCTCGAAATCTTTCCCGAGCTGTATGGCATTGTGGTGCGTCTGGCCACCTCCGAGTGGCGCATTCTCAGCAAGCAAATCAGTTACGAAAGCTCGGACAGCGGCAATCCCGTTCTGGCCGTTTTCATAGCGGGCAGCCTGTGCGCCATGTTGGCCTTCGCCTGTCCCTTGCAGCATCTCAGCTATTGCCTGGCGGCCAGTCATCTGACTGCCGTCTTTCTGCGTGCCTTCTACTTGTTGTACATCCCGTATCGACCCAAGTTCATGCAGCCCAGCAGCAGCGAGTCCTCCCTCTCCTACAGTCGCCTCTCCACGGCGCCCATTGCCAAGAGCAGCAGCTGCAGCAGCGCCGCCACGGCCGGCTCCAGTCGCGTGAAGCGCAGTCTCTGGAACATTGGCTTGCCCAAGCAGCGGGGCCTGAAGAAGCCGAAGAACAAGCAGCGCAATAAGCCCGAGGTCGAAAAGGAATGGCTACTGCTGGGCGAGCCAACATCGCCCTGTCCGCAGCGCGAGGGCAGAGATGTGGAGTCCACCATTTTGTCGGATAGCGAGCCGCCGGTGAGTGTAGATGAATATTCGATCCAAAAAAGGCATTTAGAAGCAAATAAGAAAGATATTTTTTATTATAAGATGTACATCTGTAATAATAATAATTATTATAATAATGGAAAGGTAGTCTCACAAAGGAGAGGGGCCATTGTGTCGGATTTCTCCAATCAAAGGCTATACTCTGTGCCAGGGTGGAATTTCTAGTTCCTTAGTTTGTCGAAGTCCTTTCTAACAAAGCACTCTAAAGTGCCACAGTTTTGCCCTGTTGTGGGTCGAGAGCTGTTGAAGACAGTTCAACTGTTTATTTTCAAGCTTCGAGCTTATCCTTTGAGCTAACCATGAAAATATTGATGATGGTTCCTCTTAGATCTTTTTGAAGAGTTACCCAATGCTAATGAGACTCGAGTATTAGGTCCAAGAAGCCCTTCACCTTATTTAATCATTATTATAATTAATTACTTTTTATTATTATTTAATTACTTTTCCTCTATTCCGACAGCCATCTGACTTTGAGTACCCTGATAAGTTCGACAAAAGCGATTCGGATACCTCAACGGACATCGATGCTATAGTCGATGAGTATCGTCAGAAGGTAAAGGTAAGTTGAGTATATGCTCAACCTTCGCTCAAACCAAACTAAAACTCTGCTTTGTTTTCAGGTGACCACAGCTGGTCCGCTGGAGCGGAGCGTTCGGGTGCCCACCGTCAGCTCGTGGAGGGTGACCATTTTTGCGATTGTCGTCATCGGATTGGGGAGTGCACTGTGTGTGGCTGGTTTGGTGCTGCGCTGGGCACCTGCCGCGTTCACCGGCGCCATTGGCGTCTTTATTGTGGCCATTATGATGGGCATCATACCGCAGTACACGGGCAGCGTGATCAATGTGAGTCCCGTGCTGTGCGCCATGTGCCTGCTGCTCAGCGTTGTCTTCTTCTCGGCCTGTGCGGTCCACTCCTGGCCTGGCGTGCTCGTCTGGCTGCTCGGCGGACTCATTCTGCTGATGCGCTGTGATAAATATTGCTGCAACTGCTTCGAGCAGACAACCATATTGAATGCTCAGCTGATTCCCAGTGTTTCCGGCAAGGCATCGACATCGGCGGCGGCGGTTGCAGCCACCAGCATTAGGATGCCCCGTCCGCCCAAGGGTGTGATTAGCTTGCCGCAACGCGTCAGCGGCATCAGATGACAGTCAGAGTCCTCCGAAGAGGAGGGCGAGGATCTGTTCCATGAGGACTTTAATGTGCGCGACTACGATGATGATGATGCCAACGAGGATTGCTGGACTGACTAGCCGGCAGCCTTTGTGTGACGCCTTTTTAATGTAGCTAGGCTTTTAACTATTAGAATGCGGATTTTCAATGACGAATCTTGCTTGAAGCTAGTATTATAAAAACTATAAATTTATATATTTATGTATGCCATCATTCTAGCTAGAGTCTATATATATACAAACAAATCTATATGTTTCTAGTTTCTAATAAATAATGAATGTCCAAATAGCTGTACGGAAATGTACTTAAATTTAGGATAGGGCTATTAATATATAGGTACACTCTGTGGCCTTATTCTAACCTATTGTAATTGGTGGAACAACAATTTGGATGAAGTTGAAGTCTAAAAGGAATATTTTATATATTTCTTACAAGTATTATTCCAAATCCTTAAATATTTAAAAAAAAAAACCCATCTAAATCTGGCAACATTATTCTTGGTAAAAATTCATGCAAAAATGGTACCCTGAAATATCCTAAATAGACATAGGTCAAAATTTGCCACATTTTCATTAGGTATGGCTTTAGATTAAATTCGCATCTAAATCTGGCATTATTATTCTTATATTTCGCTGCTATAATTTCTCGCACAATGTACTCTGGTAATGCCTATTGATAACGCTACATATTTTACAGATTTACGAATTTACAGATTTAACAGCTGTTAAGATTACACGATTGTATTCACTTAAACATCTAGATGCTCGTGCTCCATCAGATAATCAACTAGCTCCTCGATGGGCTCCATTATCGTTTCTTCGTAGTCCGGCTGCATTTGCATCACTCTCAGATACATTTCGCTACGATCACAGTTGAGGTAATAATCAAATTTCTCAGGCTCCTCTGTGCTCAATTTGTTGGATATGCTCGCCGACATCTTTGTCTGTGGCTCGGTTAAGGCTTTAACTGTCAGACCAAACAGGCGTGTGCGTTTGCAATCCTCCATAAAGTTCTCTCTACTAATCAGATTAGTGGGTAGGCCAAGTCGCATAAATTCGGATTGGAGACAATCATAATAATGCTCCAGTGCCTGCTCATAAATCTCACGTCTCTCCCTGACCGAGGGCACGAGTATATAGAGCACGAAGAGCACATCCAATGTGGGGGAGCAATACTCGGTCAACTGGAAGTCCACAATGCAACAGGAGTTGGGCAGGCTGTCATTCTTGTTGGCGAAACCAAACAGTATATTACGATCCCAAGTATCTCGATGACAGAGCACACTTCGAATGGTTTTCGAGGGTTCTACTAGATGGTCCGATTTGGTCAGCAGCTGGTAAAGTTTTTCCCTGATGAATCTTTGAGCGATGTCCGTTTGGTATTTCTTGTGTCGTGCAGCCAAGAAAACGATGCCCTTATAAGAAATATTTTATTATTAAGTTGTATTTTTGAGGAGTGCTATCTATAAGTTATACACACCTTGAAGCCTGTGACAAACCATTCAGACTTCTTGTTCATTAGCAGCTCGTTGAACACATTCTTGTAGCGATCGCCAATATTAAATTGTTCGGCCTCCTCCCAGGCAATGCTTGCGGCGTGCAAAGCTGCCAAATGTTGCAGTACCAATTTATAATGTTCGATGGTGTGACTCTCCGTGGTTTTGAGATGTCGATAATGCAGAGTGAGATCCTCTAGTACCATTATGTCGTCTCGACTGTAATAGCACTGCGGAAAGATCTTGCGGCTTGCTAATGAATTAAAACTTTATGTTACTATGGAATTCAAGTATGTACTTCTTAAAAAATAGACTACTTATTATTATATATGTATATATAAAACTGTCAGGAGAACGAGCAGATGCTATTCGAGTTGTTGTTTGAGATATATTTGCGCATAATTTAATCAACATCGGACTACTTTATATTTTGGCCCTCGGAATAGACACTCGGAAGTTTTATTGTGTTATAAAAAAATATATAATATTCCTTTTGTTAATAGACATCTTGAAAGAGCATTGCGTTCTTGTTATAACGAACGTTTGCTTACAAACTCAAAAATAACCCACCATATCTCTGTATATTTGGCAACAGTTGCCTGTAGATGGCCGTTTCCTTGCGAAAGACCCCATTGCGTTCACATTTGGCTCTAAGCGGTGCATTTTTACGGGGTAAACTTTTGACAAAGTATTGCAAATTATGTTTCGTTTTAGTTCTTGTGTCTTTCAATTCCAAGCGCAACTTATAGTACTCGCCCATGTAGCCCATTAGATCATTCGAGCCCGCATCGAGTTGTCGCTCCAATAAAACCAAATTATCATCGTCTGTTTCCAGGTGAAGCGTACGTAATGCTATCAAGCGACATTCCTCCAAGCTGAGCAGTTCCATGGATGCTGGCAGTTAGATCTACTAAAGAGAAACAAGATTAAAATTTCCTTTGGTCCAGTAACCTACGACAAATCATATAAAATAACACACACCGCAAACAAAACTTGCATCAAAAGCAGACCTCGTATCTACAGGGGCTATCAAAGGAATTGAGCTGTTTTGGGAATCAGTTTTAAGCTACTTAATTGAGTGCCCAGGTCTAAGAACGGATCGTTAAGTTTGTGGAAATCAGCAGCAAGCCAGTTCTAATCTTATCACATTACAAGGTCAACCTTCCCATGAGACGCAACTAGTTCATGTGTATAACCAATGAACACACAACAGGGTATATAGTATAGAACATAGTATATATTTATATTATAGTATATAAATATAGTATACATATTAGTTGGCTTTAATCTGCCTTTGACATGCCTTTTTTTCGTGGCAGACAACTTCAACCATCCATTCTATTGCGAAGAGCAAACCACATACAAATAGAAGTGCTTTAGAGCGGCGAAAAACAGAGAGCAGGCGAGAGAAGAGATTGAGTTAAGGCTGTTGACCGAGAGAGTGTTATCTTTTCTTACAGACAACAATCGCACGCGATAGCAGCCAGGTGCAGTGCTAAAGAGATAAGCCGAATATATTAGACAGGCTCACCAAAAACTGAAGAGAGCAATTGACAGCGAAGCACAGCACACAAAACAAAATGCACTAATTATTCAAAAAAATAATTAATAACAAATTAAAGTTAATTGTTAGTTCTAAGTTGGGATTAAGCAACTGTTGCTGAAGGGAAAACAGTTCTATTACGATTTTCGGTTATAAGTTAATAATTTTTTGTAATTTTACTCAAAGATAATTCGGAGCGCAATTTAGAAAACACGTCTGTTCGCGATAAATCGTCTTTCGCTTTTGTTTGATCAAAAAATATTTGAATTTTTCCCAGCATCAAACAAAATTTTAGCTTTTTTAATCGCATATTCAAAGCTTTCAGAGCTGATAAGATGGGGTTACCAGGTTTGCATTGTGTAAAGATTAAATATAAGAAATTCCCTTTCATTTGGATCTTTGATAGTATGTCAGCTGCAGGAAATAGTCCCCATATAAAATCTGAAATTCTCATGCCTACTAATTAATCTCACAACCATATATATTACATTTATTAGAATACAAAATCAACCTTTAAATAACTGAGAACTGATTCAAGTTTTGGATAATGCAAGTGAACTTTACTTCTGTCGTAACAGATTTCTATAACAGCTATTACGAGTTCTTAACAACGAGAATATAAAGGAACCCATCTACTTAGGTGTACAGGCTCTCGTGCTCAATCAGATAATCAACTAGCTCCTCGATGGGCTTCATTATCGTTTCTTCGTAGTCCGGCTGCATCTGCATCACTCTCAGATACATTTCGCTACGATCACAGTTAAGGTAAGAGTCGAATTTCTCGGGCTCTTCCGCGCGCAATTTGTTGGATATGCTCGCCGACATCTTTGTCTGTGGCTCGGTTAAAGCTTTAACTATCAAACCAAACAGGCGTGTGCGTTGGCAATCCTCCATAAAGTTCTCCTTGCTAATCAGACCAACGGGTAGGCCAAGTCGCACAAATTCGGATTGAAGACAATCATAATAATGCTCCAGTGCCTGCTCATAAATCTCACGTCTCTCACTGACCGAGGGCACGAGTATATAGAGCACGAAGAGCACATCCAATGTGGGGGAGCAATACTCGGTCAACTGGAAGTCCACAATGCAACAGGAGCTGGGCAAGCTGTCATCCTTGTTGGCGAAACCAAACAGTATATTACGATCCCAAGTATCTCGATGACAGAGCACATTTCGAATGGTTTTCGAGGGTTCTACTAGATGTTCCGATTTGGTCAGCAGCTGGTAAAGTTTTTCCCTGATGAATCGTTGGGCTTTGTCCGTTTGGTATTTTTCATGTCGTGCTGCTAAGAAAACGATGCCCTATTTGAAATATATTTATATAAGGTTCAGCGTAAAGGATAAGCTATATAGATTACGCACCTTTAAGCCTGTGATAAACCACTCGTTTTGCATGTTCATAAGCAGCTCGTTGAACACATTCTTGTAGCGATCGCCAATATTAAATTGTTCGACCTCCTCCCAGGCAATGCTTGCAGCGTGAAGAGCAGCCAAATGTTCCAGCACCAATTTATAATGTTCGAAAATGTAGCACTCCGTGGGTTTTAGATGTCGATAGAGCGGCGTGAGATCCTCCAGCACCATTATGTCGTCTCGACTGTAATAGCACTGCGGGAAGAGCTTTCGGCTTGCTAAGATTAAAAGAAATTAACCATCAAAAAAAACTACCTACGGACAATTATATCATGATTATGGAATATTGATATTGAATGAAAACCTCCTTGGATTTTAGAGATAACTTGGTCTAGCCTTCCTAACAGATGATACTGAATAATCGATAGTAACAAATTTTAGTTAAGCCATAAGATAAACTCTTGGCTTGTCTCACTAAAACTTAGTCTACAAAGTAAATATTAACCCACCATATCTCTGTATATTGGGCAGCAGTTGCCTGTAGATGGCCGTTTCCTTGCGAAAGACCCCTTTTCGTTCACATTCGGCTCTTTGCGGTGGATTTTTGTAGGGTATACTCTTAACAAAGTATTGCAAATGATGTTTGGAGTTAGTTCTTGTGTCTTCCAATTCCAAGCGCAGCTTATAGTACTCGCCCATGTAGCCCATTAGATCATTCGAGCCCGCATCGAGTTGTCGCTCCAATAAAACCAAATTATCATCGTCTGTTTCCAGGTGAAGCGTACGTAATGCTACCAAGCGACATTCCTCCAAGCTGAGCAGTTCCATGGATGCTGGCAGTTAGATCCATACTAAAGAGAAGCGAAATTTAACTATCTTTCCTAACTCCCAAAAGCCGTTGAACTTTGTAAATAACAGAACTTATCTTTTTGATTATAAAATACTTTTATTTTTCTAACAATCCTAACAATTTTGGTGTTTTTTGTATTATATCAGCGCTAAGATAATATTAAAGCAGAAACTTTCAGAGCTGATAAGATGTGTGTGTTACCAGGTGAGCATTGTGTAAACTTCGAAGATAAGACAGGGCCATTTCACTTGGCTTGTTTAGAGTATGTCAGCTCCAATAAATCCTCCACACAGGCATATATATAACATCTGAAATCCTCATGCTCGCTCATTAATCTGAGCACCGCTTCGGTGCGATCCACATTACAGAAACGATGAAACTCCATGGGCTGCTCATCCTTGAGCTGCTTCAGATAGTTTTCGGGCAGTCGTAGCATGGTCGCGGCTATGCAATTGTAGGTGGCACCGAAGAGAGCAAAGTCCTGCAGGGATTGGTCGAAGTCAGCTCGACTGAGCTTCTCCTGCTGCGCATCGATATTCATGTCTGTTAGCTCTGCTACCAAATGCTCATAATAGTAGCCCGTTATGCGCTCCATCATCTGCTTGCGCTGGTCCGGCTCCACATTTAGGTAGCTGGCCATGAGCAGGTCCACAGCTGGCGGTGCATAGCGGCACAGCTGAAAGTCCACCAGCACACAGCCCACATCCTGGGGATGTTCCTTGTGATAGAACACATTGCCGAACCAGGCGTCACGATGCAGGAAAACATTACGATGCACGGGCGATGGATTTGCCATGAAATAGACTCGATCCAGGCAACGTGGCAGCTCATTGGCAACATAATCCTGAGCAGCTGCATCCTTACGCACCTGGGGATGTGCAGCAGCAACAGCCAGCACAGCCTGCAAATGCAAAAATTTGGGTTTAAAGTCTTTTGTGTATGCGCCCCAACTGTTACCTTTAAACCGGTCGTCCACCAGACAATATCGGGATCGATTGACTTCTCCAGCAGCCACTCCCTGAATACCACCCCAATGGTCAGCCGATGGCGTCGCTCATAGGCCACGCTGCTGGCATGTAGGGTAGCCAATGCCTTGACCATGGGTCGCAGCTCCTGTTCGCTTAGGAAGCGCGTCTTCGCGGGCAGCGATCTGTAGCCCAGATCCTCGATATTTTGCATTACAAACAGATCATCCCGGGTGAAATAGCACTTGGCACACCACACATGAGCAGCTAATTGGGATTAAAGATAACAAATGTAAATGAAATGGGATCTGTGTAATAGATAATTGTAGTAGGAGCATTTTCTTAATCTTTTTGAAATACAAAGTAAAATGTTTATAAAAGAAACTAAGCGCTGATATAAAGTTCCGTCATTGTGCAAATTTTGATAAGGTATTAAAAACATAATAAAACTTGTAATTGCTTAAATTGATAAGGTATCTTTAAACAACAGAAAGGTTTCGCACAGAATAAATCTATTTTCGACAAATCTTTTTTATACGGAAGAAACACAATAAAGTAATCCCATTTAGTCAGATAATTGTATCGCCATAAATTTGTTTCAATATATTAAAAAACAATAATTATTTATTTTTGACGAAAGATTTTGAGTATATCGACTGATATCATCAACCTGATCAAGAGTGAACACATATAAATTATGATCGTAGATGTTTTATTCTTCTCTACACATAATTTTGTCTTTGGTTAAGTAGCACTTACACAAATTTTTCAGTTCATTCAGCAGCAATCCATAGAGCTTAGCCTCCTTTTTTATGATACTAGACTTTTCCTCATAGTAGGACATATCTGCATTCTCGTATGCCACAGATTTCACAAAGAGACGCATTGTGCTCTGCTCCGACTCATTTTGCAATTGATAGCTGAGTATTAGATGATAATATTCCCCTAGGAAGCCCATATTCTCTATGGCTGGCACAATTTTAAATTCCTTTAAGCTCCCCTCTTGATTCTGATCTTCCAGCGCAGCTTTCAGTATATTCTCACATTCTTCAACCGTAAACAGATCCAGGCGATTGGCACGCGTTAGCACGGGATTGTAGATGTCTTCGCTCATGATGTCGGTCTAATATAATTAAAATTACGTACACAGCGAAAAACTCGAACGTACTCTGCGGGAGACCGTGTCCAACTAATTACAATTTCGAGGCATTGGCACATAAGAAATCATTTATTGTTATACCCTAACCCAAAGGGTATGTTCACGATAGCCGCGATAACAAACATAAGGTTGATCTAATGAAAGGTCAAGATAGATGGTATTTATATTTATTTAATTGTATGCATTTATCCAAAAAATATATATATATCTATTAAAAAATCGTAAAATACGTTTTGATAAGGCTTGGACTTGAACTTCATTTGAATACTTAAGTAAATTCCATTCCAAGCCAATAAGATAATACATTTAAAATATTAATAATAATCCTTCGTTGATTTAGTGTATTTACGGCTCGGTGAGTTGTTTGTTTGTTTTGTTTTCTGTAGTTTTTTTTTCGCAGCTTATCGCTCTCACAGCTCACAGGTGAATAGACCAGGGAATTCAATCTTATCGGTGCCGGTAAGAGTAGAGAGAGTTCAAAAGAGTTCTATAAATTAGCCGAAGCGATTTCCATGACTTCCACGCAACACTCTTCCATGGAGGCTCTGAACTCTGCGTTCTCCCGCATATAATCCAATATAATTTCACTGCGATCCACATATTTGAACTCGTTGGTAACGAATGCGGGTGGCACCTTCACAACTGTGGCAACAGCTGCGCTGTAGACAACCGCAAGGAGGCGGAACTCTTCGTAGGACTGCAGCAGTTCCGTTTTGGATATTATTTCAGACGACAGCAAGCCAAAGTCCTCTAAGTTCTGCTGCAGACAATTGTAATATAAATCAATGCAATTGGCCTCCAGACGCCGTCGCTCCATGGTTGTTAGATTCAAATAGATACTGAAACTCAAATCGACGGCTGGTGGTGAATAGCGGCAGGTCTGAAAATCAATAAGCAAGCCCGCATTTGTGGAATCAGCAGGAAAGAAAATGTTGCCCGCCCATAGATCTCGATGGCAGACTACGTTTCTAAATTTGTTGGAGGGTGCCACCTGTTCATAAGTTCTCCGGGCAATCTCGGCCAACTGGGCGTCCAGACCACCAACATATTGGCTCGTCTGGTATTGTGGCAGGCTTTTAATCACGGCCAGAATGGCCGACAGGCCCGTGGTGTACCAGGATATATCGGGTGCAATTGTTATCTCAGTAAGGCTTTCGCCAAACTCGTGGCCAATATTTTTGTCTCTGCGCTGCTCGTAGACCAAACTGGACGCATGGAAGGCAGCCAGGGAGCGCAGCAATTGATGCAGCTGCTCCGCGTTAAGCAGTCTCTCCGAAGCTGCAGAATAGCCAATGTGCTTAATATTCTCAAGCACCAAAAGATCAGAGCGCGTGAAATAACATATGGCGCTCCATTTGATTTTGGCTGAAAACCGAAATAAAAATGTTTAACAGCTTAATTTTTAGTGTTTTTTTAGCGCTAATTTTTCGTAATTACGCACAATATCTTTGCATGTCAGTCAGCAAGGTATCATACAGGCACGCCTCTTTGCGAAAGATTGCCTCTTTTTCGGGCTCATCGCTTTTCTCTGGCAGCGCTTTCACAAAAAGCTGTTGCTGTTGGGGACTTTTGTTGTCCTCCTAAAAGTATGCAATAAATATGATTTTTACTTCACAAAGAAATCTTAAACAGGATTATATGTTCAGATTATGTATGTTTTATTTGTTTGTAAATGTTTACATTACTTTGTTTGTGTTGTGTACAAGAGCGTGGGCATGGGCATTCTTACTAATAAATGATAATACATAAAAATTCAAAAATAATTTTTTTTTATTATTTTGTATTTATTTATTAATTTCACTTTTTTTTATGATAAAAATGATGTGTAATGGTAAAATTGTCCATTTAAGACAGAGCCATAAATTATCCGACGCAAAATCACCTTATACATAACTTCCACAATCATTGAGCTAAAGTAACGAAATTTGTTTTATCTGCTTACTGATGATTTCTTTTAAAATTGATTAAAAACATTCACGTCACGCACACTTGATAATTCAAGAATTGTGTATATTGAACCATTTACAGTTTACGTTAAAAAGCTCATTTTTCACCTGCTGGTAGTAAGTAATATTAATGCGCATTTTGTTACATTTCGAATACTGGCTGCGATAAATAACCCTTTAAATATTAATTTACTGATAAGGGGCTATGACTGAATATAATTTTATTAGTTCAACAAAAAGTACGTGCATGAATGCTATTTATATTTCTTAAAATTGCTATATGAATGTTAACTATATATATTATATCAATTATATTCAGAGACACTACATACATATACTTGGGTAAATTGAAATATTTTTAAATAACATCCTCGTTATTATTATCTATATTGATTATATTATAGCAGTCTAATCTGCAGAAATGAACGAAAGTTTTTATAAATATGGATAAGATCAACAAAATCTGAAGAGCAGAAGCTAATGTTGTATACCAAGAGAGAAGTAGAGTATTGAAAAGCGTGTGTACATACAAAAAGAGTATATGCTTATGCCAAACCACAACCAAGTAATCATTTAATAATCACGTTTAGTTTAATACACCGAGTTCAATGAAAGATCACTGCGACAATAATCTCAATAATTATTTGTATTAACTTACAGTGCAGTAGCTTAAACTTAGCGTATAATAATCGCCCAGATAACCAACGGCACTGTTATCCCTTTCCACTTGAAAATCGAGCAGATGCAGTTGCTCATTTGCAACATTTAATAGATTCTTTAAGATTTGCACACATTCCTCGTGCGTTAAGAGCATATTGCGTATACGCGCCGTTACGTATACGCACGGTCTCTTTCTCTTTGAATAGCAACAAATTCGATTTTCACGCCACAATTTAACCGTGTGTTAGCGCTGCGCAACGCGATTAAACTGAGCGAAAAATCACATTTATTTTTACAATTCACTCAGTTACCGAATCTCTGAGAACTGTTCGGTATGCATGGGATTCGTTGTTTTCTCGCGATAAGATATATACGTGTGGCCCCTATGGATACGTTGACTATATGCACACTTGTTGAATACACCTCGCGAGCATTTTATACTTTTTCTCATGTTTAAATTTACGCGCCTTATCAAAAGAAACAAAGAAAAATAAAAGCAATTCAAATTTAAGCCTAGGATATAATTAAGTATTCATATCTTTGGTCAAAATAAATTGTTTTATATTATTTATTTATTTGGGTATATTTTCACTCTTTGTTAATCGTAAGCTGTGAGCTCACAAGCAATGGCTACTAAGTCAATAAGCAGCCTAGCATGGGATTAGAACCAGCACCCTTCAAGTTTACTTACCGTGCTCAGCAATCGGCAAAGAAATTGACTAAGATTGAGCTGCAGTTTAAATTTTTATTAAAAGAAAACTTAATTTCTTAAATGTATTCCTGTTCCTTTAAAATCCGTTGAATATTTTTCTTTCTTTCCTGCTCCGGAAAACTAAAAACGTGCTAACTAGTGTTAGCCAATTAGCAATCGATTTTAGTGTTCACTTTTCAGCTGGCTGAGTCGCTTCTGGCGTCGCTTCTCGTGCATGTAGCTGGTATAGGGTCGTATGGTCATATAGTATATAATCTCCACAAAGCTCAGCAAGCTGGCGCCCACAAAGAGGCCCGTTGTGCCACCGATAGACACTGCAAACGACACACATGCAGCAACAATTCGCAGAGTTTCGGACAGTTCTGTGTGCAACTTACCAACCAGATCCAATTTGCCTCGCACCAGGTTGCGCTTGTAGCGCTCTGTGGGTAGCTCAATGAGGGCTACTTCAATTTTGGACACGGGATTCTGGTTTCCATATATATTATCCTTGCTGTCGTACACGGTGGTGATGTCCACCTCAGTGCAGGAGGGCAGGCAATCGCAGACTAGTCCCTTACGGCCACGGCGACGTGACCATTTGGCAATGATCACCGAGAGATCCTCGTAGTTGCGATTCAGGCACTCTAGACCATCCATGTTGCACAGCTGCCAATCGGGCGAGTTGGGTGTCAAGTGGCTGGAGCAATTGCACAACTCCATTTGCCTATCCTTGCGGCACTGCACCGTGCAGGCGCTATAGCTGTAATACCGATGCACATCCAGAATATTCTCATCCGGAAAGCGACAGTTGCGCTGTTGGACGCTCGTCTGGCGGATCTGCTCATCGTTCTCAATATCACGCTTGGACACATAGCGACTGGTGGACATCAACTTAGAAATGTTACGAAATATAGCAGGTAGCGGTACTTACACAAACGATATGTAGGGACCCACGACGAAATAATCTGTTTTGGGTGTCACCAAAGTGGGCACCTCCTCAGTTCCTAATATAAAAACCTGTTGCAGGTGAAAATAAATACAATATGTGACAAATAAGCATAGCTGATTAATTCTTAAGAGTTTTTAGGGAAGAAGATTCCCATTATTAATTAATAACTCTTTGAAAAGACAACTTACAGATATCTAATTTTTTCTCTCACTACGCATATTATATATATATTTTAATAACTTGTCCTGCAAAGCTAATTATCTTTATCCCTGCTTATATTCTCATTCTTATTTGCACTTTCTGAAAGCTTCGTGTATATTGAAGTATATCTCCCTCCTTCTAACAGATGTAATCGTTTGGGTAAGAATGTAATAACACCAAGGCAATTCAGACCTGAGCACAGACTATATCCTAATCAAAATATTCAAAACTATCTTACCGTTGCCTCTGTATGCAGTTCCATTTTCAAGGACCCTGGGCCCGTATAACGGTTGGAGTACATATTGAGCTTTGGGCCCTTGAGCTTGCTAAAAATAAGAAAATATTGCAAATATAACAGATTTTACATACTTAACCCTACAAACCCCGCCTGCATTGAATTGATGGCATAGCAAATGCCCAGTTCCGTTTCCAAGCGTTGAAAATATGTACAGCAGTCGAAGGGCGTGTTATTCCACTCACAGCTCTGTATGGAGTCCGCACAGCTACTTCTTACCAGCTGGGCGTAGTACGAGAAATTGGAGTAGAAACAGGCAGCTGTGGACTCCTCGCCGCTGCATTCGTGCACCGTGTGATAGGACTCGCCGCGAAAGAAGGCAATCTCGCTGAGCACCTCCTCCAAAGTGAAGTCGTGATCGACACCCCAGAGTCTGGTCGGGACTAGGAATTATATATAGGATAAAGGGTACACAAGCTACCTACTGTTCGGCTACTTCCTGTATGCGATCCATGTTCTTCGATTCGCAAACTATAATGGCCGGAAAATTGGTATTCCAATCGCGATAGGAACTCTCCACCACAAAGCTAATGGCATTATTCTCAAAGGCAGCTGAAATTATGATATGAATATACCCTAAACTATTCCCAAGTATTTATAATCTCACCCAGCGATGCTTTGATGAGAAGCCAGGAAGCATACCAAGAGGCCGCCAGGCAAACGACCCAAAAAATGCGCTCCAGCCAGCTGGCATCTTCATCCACTATAAAACGCGCTCCATGCAGCGTAGAATTCTTCAAATATTCCTCGACGCTTCTTCGCAAGCGCATTGTGAAGCACTTCCCTTGAGCTCTGGTTAGCTACTAAATATTACTTCCTCATGACCAAATCAATATATCATAATTAACTATTTCCATCTCGATAAAGTTCCAGTACAGCTGTTGACTTTCCCAGCAATCCAGACACGCATTTGAAATAAAAATCCCATTTCCCAGCTATTAGACAACATTTATCTAAAGATCAACTTAATTACGCAGCGTACGGCTATATTATCTCTTGCATTAGTTTTGTTTGCCATAAGTCAACAATGGACCTGGTCCAGGTTTTAGATAGTATTCCGCATGATAAGCACGCGTCTGAGGTGCGCGACAAGCGCCTCGTTAATCCTTATGACAATGTTTAACCAGACCCTAATGATGTAGATGTTTAGTATATGTAAATCTTCTTCACATGACAACAGCTGGTGCGGAATACTGTTTTAAATGGGTTTAGATGTGCTATACCTTCAATTTGCTGTAACTTTTAATTGCAATCAAAGTAATCCAAATATTGTATTTTCTTAATTAATCATATCTAGAAATTGGAAGATGTGAAATGTCATAAAAAAGATCTATGCTTATGTAATCAATAATTTCTATATAGCTTTAACGGTCTTTTCAGACTTATCTCGTACGTGATAAAACTTCGCGAGCTTTACTGAATATATTTTTAATTTTATGTATAGTTTTTCACCCCAAAATAAGAATAAGGTCTGTTTCTATAGGAAACCAATTACTCTCTCTCTCTCTGATAATACAGAAACAAAATATTGTTTCACTTTAATAAAAAATAAATACTAAAGAAAATATATTTATGTAATAAAGAAATTGAATATTTTTTTAGTTTTTTTGGTATATATAGGACTTATTCTTATTTAAAAATAAAATATAAAATATATTCAATTTTCGGATCATCACAACCAAGCGTTACGATATTCCTTTTAGGGTATTTGATATTCGCATAGCTGTCCGCATGGGGCATATGAAACACACCCATCTCGTCGGCGATGTTACTAGAAATATGTTTAATCTGATTAGGCCTTTGGCGCTATATTACAATATACTACCTACTTTTGTTGACATCCTTAATGTACATTTAAGAAAAAGAAAAAAAATTAAATTTTGTTCACCAGCTGTTAAGCTAATGTATCATACGACCTAGCCTATATCGTAAACCATTTGCGTCTGTTCATTTTGTTTGAATTAGAAGCCTAACTGTTTTTCCTCAATGGATTAAAATACGTTTTTATTATGAATGAAGCACCAGATGTCTGCTCGTTAACTAATCATCATACCCTTTCTGAAGCTATACGATTTTCTATAACTTTAATATATATAACTATTATAAAATTAATATAATATTCCCTATACTGAATGGGTGGAAAACTAAATTGTTGTATTGCAATTTATATATTCACTAAATTTGTCAATTAAATATGTTTACAAGGAAAAATTTGTTGAAAGTTTAAACCATATGTAAAAAATCTTTAAAGCTCGTTTTTTACATATATTTTAAAGTCAGTATGAAAATATTTAGGCTTTACACAGTTGCCTGCAATGCACGAGTATCTGAGTAGAGTTGAGTTTTGTTTTCTTCTTGTTTCCATTTGTTAACAGTTAAGTGGACTCGAGAATACTGAATAGAAAAACCTTAATAAAGAATTGATTTTCACAGAAAATAAACTCCTGCAAGGGTATCTAAACTTCGGCGGCACAGAAACAGTTGCTTCTTCTGATACTAGGTTAGTTTAGAAGCTGGTAGAATATGCATTAGTAATCTTTTCTCTCAGATCACGCTGATGCGCTTATCAGAGGAGAAGTTTATAGCGGCTTTGCGACAGCTTTGCATTTGTATATTTCGCCACGGGGCGAATGTATAAAGCGTTGGCCCCACTGGAAGTGGCCGAAACAGTCGGAATCAAGATGGCAACGGCATTGGAGCTGAGCAGCACCGATCTACAGGGCCTGTGCCAGAGCTATCTGCACCAGAACGAGATGAATGCCAAATTCGAGGTTGTCAGCTATCAGCTACAGCCCACATCGGAGGCGCCCGCCGGCTTCCTGGGCAGTCACTTCTATCTGCAGGTGATCCTGCAACTGCAGGAGACAGGCGAGATGAAGCAGCTGTGCCTCTTCTGCAAGTCAGCGCCGGAGGGCAATGCCTCGCGCATGGAATATCTAGAGAATTTCGGTGTCTTTCAGAAGGAGATTGCCGTCTATCAGCATGTGCTGCCCGAGCTGCAGGCAGCCTGCGCAGAGATAGCGCCCAAATGCTACTATGCGGACAAGAATCTGTTGGTCTTCGAGAATCTCATCGATCAGGGCTACCGCATGGGCGCAGCACGCGATGGTCTGCTCAACTTTGAGCAGCTGCACTGCTGCCTCAAAACGTTGGCGGCAATGCACGCGGGTTCCATTATCAGGGATCAAGGCAATAGTCAAAGACTTCACTTGGAGGAGAACGCGTATCCCTCAAATGTGCCGCCGGAGCACTTGCGAATTGTTAACTTTAATCAGGCTTGTGAGGTCTTGAAGGAGTTCATCAAAACGCTGCCCAAGTATCAGAGCCAGCTGGACTACATATTGGCCAACTTTACCAAGCGTATGTCACGCATCTTTGAACTGGCCAAGACCTCAAAGACGCGGCTCAACACCCTTTCGCATGGTGATCTCTGGGCGAACAATGTGCTCTTCCAGTATGGCAAATATGGCGAGACGCCGCTCCAGTGCCGCTTTGTCGACTTCCAGCTGGCCAGATACGCTCCTCCAGCCATGGATCTGCTCACCGTGCTAACCATACCCACGACGAGCCAATTCCGAGCTGTCCATCTCGACGAGCTGCTGGCCGAATATTATCGCTTTATGACGGAGTTTCTGAAGCGCGCCGGCTTGAATATAGCTCACTTTATAACAGAGGCAGAGTATTACGATTCAGTGGAAGAGTATCGCATTGTCGGTCTCATCGAGAGCTGCCTGTTCTGTCATCTGGTTATACTGCCGCCCGCCAGCACCCAAGAGCTGACCGGCTCCGCTGATGGCTTCAGCGATTTCTTCAGTCGCAAACGCATCGAGATCTGCATGAAAGCCTTCAAATCTGATCAACTGTACAGAGATCGCATGCTGGACATGCTACAGGACTTTGTCGATCATTATGTCTTACAATCTTAGTAAATAATCAATTAACATAATTTAAAAAAAAAATACAAAAAAATATACTACAATATATTTTTATACTTATATTGTTTTGAAATTAAAGGATAATCAGGATAGTCTTCTTTCTTATTTACTTTTCGTAATCCACACTAGGCTAGGTGCTTGATCGCCATAAAAATCTACTTGATTTCTTAAACACTCTGCCATGAAGCTTAATTTAAATATAAAAATTTTGTACTTATTAAAATACAATAAATATTATCCCTTTGAATATCATGTTGAATTCTCGGATAACTTATTGCACGAAAAATTAAATCTAAAATTTCGGTTAATAAAGGAAAAGAAAACTACCTTTATTCACTTGACAAAAATGGTTTTATAAAATCAATCATTTTCGAATGTCCAAATCGATAAATATCGATTTTCTAGATTGAAAATATTTGAATCGATTATATACATTTTCGAACTCGTAAACATAATTTTGCAAGCTCGAAAACATCGATTATGAAAACTCAAAAATATTAAGATATCATGATCGATAAAAATCGAATTTATGGATCGATAGATATTGCTCCTCTGACTGGATATATATCGATTTGCCAAGTGCATACGATGTATTTGGGACATGTCAATAAGTGGGAGGGTATAATAGACAATTCGATGACGATCACGGATCAGGTTGGTTGCCAACTATCGATAGCGTATCTCCTAGTCGGGTATTGACTTTAAAGCTTTCAACTTTAAAGCTGCTCGTGGGCTTTGTCGCTCTGCTCATAGCTGGCTCGAAGCGCACAATTCAGTTGGCAACCGGCCGCGTTCATACCAACAACTTGTTGCGGCTCAAATTACACGTTAAGAGATCTCAAAACATAACGATTTTGTGCTTGACAGGATTACGCAGCTAAAATCGCAAGAAGAAGCAACAAGTAGAGGCGCGAAATTATTTAACTGCAAAATAATTAGTAAAAATAATATAAAAATGTGAGTTTCGCAGGTGAAATTGAGATTTTATGTGAAAGTTAAAATTAATATTGCTGAAATATTACTGAAAATTTGCTAAGCAATTATTATTTAAATAAATATAGTGAAAGAAGCTTGAAAGCTATTAAACAACTTATCTGAAAGTTATTTCAGTTTAATACAAAATTACTTAGTCATGAGACATCTCTCAAAAGTAAACCTTGCAAAATTCCCACCCATACATTTTCAACAGCCATTCACCAATTGAAACCCCGAAAAGGTTTGCCAACACTTGATAAAAATTCAAATTATTCGCGTTTGTCCGCCAAAGCAAAATAGTTGCAGGCAACAACAACAACAACAACAATTGCGCAGCTGAAGGCGCACTGCAAATGACCATAAACAATTTGACCTATCAACAATAACAACCGCAAAAAAAACGTTGACAAGCGTTAAACAAAGAGTCAAAACAATAAACAGTTGACAGTAGTTCATGGCACATAATTCAGTTTAACGGTCACGTTTTATTAACAAACGCACAAAATGCTCAACAACGATAAAGTTATAAATATATCAAAATAATACTACAATCGTTTGTGTGCAATGTTTATGCTAAAGTTAAATGTAATTTCATTCAATTGCATATTTTTTTTCTTTTTTTTTTCTCTCTGTTTATTAGCTAATTTATTGATACTATACATGAGCATCTTAACCTAGCTTGACTATAATGGGATAGACATACTTAATATTACCTATTAAGTTTTATAATTATTCAATATACATTATAATTCAATTGCATAAAGGAAGAAACTTATAAAGAAACAACCAGTTTCAGTTAGCAGATACTCTGTAAACAGACCTCAAGAACCTAAGAACACATGTGACTTATAGAATAATTACACTTTTTT